TGGGATTTCTCCCTTCCATTTGAGCATGTCTGTTGGTGTTAATAGTCAGATTTGCTTAAGTGATCCCACAACAGATATGACTACAGCTCCTAAAATACTTCTGCTTCCTCTTCCACAATGTACCTGGAGGATTGAGTACAGGAATTGCATTGTGCAAGTACAACTTGACTTGGCATAAAACAATAATTTATTTTCTGAATTTTTATCACTCATGCTTTTACTGTTTTCTACCCATTCATTAGCTGTGGGGTTTTTTTTGAATGATCACCTTCTTTTGTGTTAGAAAAATTTCCCCACTTAGTGGTTAGAATTATAAGTAATGAAGGAATTGCTTTCCGTAAGAGAAATTAGGCCCTAAGTGGTTAACCAGCAGGAAAATGTGATCAACAAAATCATGGATATACAAATAACATTACAGGCTAGCAGGTTTTATTCTACTATATATATATATATATATATATGTATACATATGTATACATACATACATATGCATATACATGCATATACAGTAGCTAGTATGGAAACAGACAAATAAGCATATACATATAACAACAATAAAAGAAATAGAGGCCAGAAGCCATGACTTTTGTCTTGTTTTTTATTTTAGAAATAATCTTATTTTACATATCAATCTCCCATTCCCTCACCCTCCCATTCTCCCATGCCCCCACACTGATGCCCCCAACCCACCCACCCTCACCCACTCCACAAGGTTAGTGATACCTTCCACGGGGAAGTCATCAAAGTCTGTCACATCATTTGAGGGAGGGCCTAGACCCTCTTTCATGTATTTGGGCTGCAATAGTATCCCTCCATAGAGAATGGGCTCCCAAAGTCCATTTGTGCACTAGGGATAAACACTGACTTCACTGTTAGAGGTCAAATAGACTGCTATGGCCTCCTAGCTGGCACCCACATTCAGAGGGCTTGGTTTGGTCCAGTGCTGGTTTCCCAGCTTTATGAATAGGGTGTATATGCTCTCACTAGGTCAGGTCAGCTGTTTCTGTAGGTTTCTCCAGCACGGTCTTGTCTCCTTTGTTCATCCCTCCTCCTTCTCTATGACTGGATTCCAGGAGTATGGCTCAGTGTTTAGCTGTGTGTGTATGCTTCTGCTTCTGCTTCTGGATGAAGGCTCTAAGATGGCAACCAAGGTAGTCATCAATTGAAAAGAGAATTTGTATTCAGAAATAACTCAGGTACTTCCTAACAGATTCTGGACTCCTTCCCTATTAAATGAACGCAGTTTGCATTAGACACATACATACACTTGTTGACACTAGAAAGACTCACAAATTCCTATCTGAATAAGTAACCTGGTTGATAACCAAGAAAGTACTCCTTGAAAAATGATGTCTAATTAAATATGTTTCAGGGGTAGATTTTAGATCAGCATATCAGTTGAAGAATCTATTTATTATCCCCTGATACTTATTGATGCAGGGATATATTAATTGTGCAATAAATAAGACTGAAATCCTATAGAGGAGGAACTAAAACTATTTAGCAGGTAGTGTTGGAGAGATGGTCTCATGGTTAAGAGTTTGGTGCTCTTCCAGAGGACCCCAAGTTCAGTTCCTAGCAACCAAATTAGGCTGCTTACATCCACCTGTAACTCCAGTTCCAGTCGATGTGACACCTTCCAGACTCCATAGGCACACACAGAGATGCATACATAACACTAATCAAAAATCTAAAAAAATATTCAGACGGCATATTTCCTGTCAGAAGCCATGACTTTTTAAATTTTATTTATTTAGTTATTTTACATATTAATCTACCAATTCCCTCACATTCCCATCCTCCTATGCGCCCCACTGAACTCCCAACCCACTCCCTTACTACTCCCAAAGGATAATGAGGCCTTCCACTGGGGACCTTCAAAGTCCATCACATCATTTAGGGGAGGGTCTAGGCCCTCTTTAGTGTATCTGGGCTGCAATAGTATCTCCCCAGAGGGAATGGGCACCTAAAATACATTTGTGCACTAGGCATAAACACTGGCTCAGCTGTTAGAGATCCCATAGGCTGCCCATACCTCCTGGCTGACACCCACATTTAGAGGGCTTGGTTGGGTCCAATGCTGGTTCCCCAGCTTTACGACTAGGGTCTAGGTGCGCTCACGAGGTGAAATCAAATGTTTCTACAGGTTTCTCCAGCACAGTCTTGATTCCTTTGCTGATCCCTCCTCCCTCTCCACAACTGGATTCCAGGAGTATGGCTCAGTGTTTACCTGTGTGCCTGCTTCTGCTCAGATCAGCTGCTGGATGAAGGCTCTAGGAATGTCAACCAAGGTAGTCAGCAATCTCATTATAGGGTAGGGCATCAAAGGCAGCCTCTCCACTACTTTCTAGATTCTTAGTTGGGGTGGTCCCTGTGAATCCCTGAACATTTCCCCAGTGTCAGATCTCTCTCCAAACATGTACTGGCTCCCTCTATCGAGGCATTTACTTCCTTACCCTCCTCTATTCATCTCCTGTCTCAGTCATCCTGATCCCTCCTGTTCTCCTCCCTCCTACCCTTCTCTCTTTCTCCCCTTCCAACCTCCCTCCTCTCTCCCCCTCATGCTCCCAATTTTCTCAGGTGTTCTTGTCACCTTCCCCTTCTTCAATGGACCATATGCTCTTCTCTTGGGGTCCGCCTTGCTTCCTAGTTTCATTGGTGGTGTAGATTGTAAGCTGGTAGTCATTAGATCTATGTCTAATATCCAAATATGAATGAGTATATAGCCTGCTCCTCTTTATGTGATTGGGTTACCTGGCTTACAATATTTTCTTGCAATCCCATGCATTTGCCTGAAAATTAAAAGGTTTCATTCTTTTTTATCTATTGAGTAATATTCCATTGTGTAAATGAGCCACATTTTCTCCATCCATTCTTCAGTAAAGGGGCATCTAGGTTGAGAAGCCATGACTCTCAGAGGGAAGGTTTGCGTGGGTGCTTTAAAAGAATTGGAGGGAAAAATACAGAAGGATGAAAATATATTTTACTTTAAATTTAAAGGTATGTGACTTCAGCTTATAAAATGCTTAAATTCTATTAAATTTTAATTATTATAGATACTTCTCCTCATGAATAGTTAAATATAGAACAGAATGTTGGAAAAAATTTCAAAGTATAACTATTGCTGTGTATGGTTAGGTTTGCACCATTTAAGCCGATGTGACCCTCTTACCAATATTTGTAGTAGCATTCATACACATTCAAAGGGCATAAAATTCCTAGTTTTTCTATAGGCATACACAAATTTGGTATTAACAATATTTTATTAGCTGACACGCTGTCTTTTAAGTTGGTGACATTAAAGGAATGTGTTCTCTCGGGCTCCTGCTTGTTTCCAACAATATTTTCTTTCTGTACTTTCTATTCATTATTATTTTAAGGGGGTTTGGTTAGTATTTTTTACTAGCTTACAACTTAGCAAATGTTAAGGCATTTTCGGATTTACTGTTTGGATAGGCTCAACCCCTCTTCTTCCCCCATTTCTCTTCCATCATCCCAGCTTATACTATCCCATGAATTCAATTTCTTATTACACTTTCAAAACTCACATATTTTTTACCATCCTAATCCCACTCTGAGTCATCCTTATGAGGAACTTCCAAGTCCCCTGGATACTACCACCGCTCACTGCCAGATAAGTACCCATTTCTAATTAGAATCTGTGTGGTCACACTTTGGACAGTGGTATCTCTCTTCCTGGGCACATATTACTTCAAGTAACTGCTGCTGCACCCATTTCCTAGGTTATTCTACATGAAAGTGCAAAGGGAAGGGGAACCTGAAGCTGGTCATTCCAAAGGTCTTAGCTCTTTTTTACACTCTGCATAAGCATGTTAAGATCCTCCGGCCGGGTGCTGATTCACATCAATTACTGTGTGATTCTGCAAGGGTATCTGACCCAATTCAAGAAGTGTTTTCAGATACCTTCTCACATGAGAATACAATGTGAGATTCCTTCAAATTCATTATACTGATTCATATACCCAGTGCCATCTTTTCTGTCATTCCCACACTAGATTTCTGAGGGGTGCCTGGTTATCCCAGACAGAGTTCCAATAGAGACAATAAACATTTCTGCAGTTGCTTTCATTCATAAGATATTATCTTTCTTGCACTTTCTCCTAGTATATTTTGCTTATCTTATTATATTCTCCGTTCTTTAACATTTCACCACATCAGTTGTTCCCTTCTCTCTAACAGTTCTAAACTGAGTGGGCTCACATGTGTGTGTATCTATCAGGTGTGGCTTTTCAAAATTCCTAACTCATAACTCAGTGTGATGTAGTATGTCACTTGAGCCATCATTAAAAAATATTTTTGCTTCTAATATTTTTCTCTTATCTAAGATTGTAGTGGTATAAAGACCCAAAGACCACAGAGGATAGCTAAAGTCCATATTTCCAATTATATGTAACAGCCATACTGACTGCCTAAAAAGCAACAATTCTCACAGAGCACACTGGAACGCATTTTGTATGTAACATGTAAGTATAAAGAATCCAGAAAAATCTACATCCTCTTTAGCAGTTAGCAGAGGCAGAAAAACAAGGAAGAAAGGTCACAGAATCCAAAAAACTGCAGTTAGGTAGGATATTTCTACCCCCAATATCTATAACAGTGTTTGACACTTTCCCAAGGGGTTCTTCATGGAGTGGGTAGAAAAAGGAGGGTTAATTTCATGTTAAACCAAAGATGGCTCCACCATCCCATCATACTGAGTATTGCATTTCCTAGGAAACCTGATGGCTCTCCTTCCATCAGCACATGCATTCTAAAGTATTGAGAAACTACATGGAAAATAACTAGTGTCAAAATATGGGGGATGAAGTATTTTCCTGTGTTCAAATAGTTGAAATAGTGAGTTTGAAGGACTTTCAGGCTCAGCATCTCTGTATCTCCATGGATTAATGCTACCTTCCTCAAGCCCTGGCTACCATCATTTGCCATTATCCATTTGACCTGAGAGAGAGCATGACCATGTTGTTAAGGAAATTGTGTTGAATCACAGAATGAACATGTGGAATCTGACAATCAGAATCATTATCTTATCACAAACTACAACTGGAATTCTTGGAAATTTCTCTCTTTTGTTGCACTATCTAATCCTTTACTGTACAGAAAACACATTAAAGCCCACAGATTTGATTCTCATGCACCTAATGGCAGCCAATGCCTTGATCATTCTCTCTGCAGGAGTGCCCCAAACAATGGCAGTTTGGGGATTTAAATATTTCTTGAATGATTTTAGGTGTGAGCTCCTATTGTACTTTCAAGGATTTGCTCGAAATGTGTCCATTGGCACCACCTGTCTTCTGAGTGTATTCCAGGCAATGACCATCAATTCCAGGAAGTCATGTTGGAAGGATCATAAAGTCAAAGCTACAAAGTACATTCACTGTTCTGTTTCCCTACTCTGGGTCTCCTACATGTTGATACGTTTAATTTTCTTAATGTACATATTTATCAGAATGAATAGCCAAAACATGACAAGAAGCCAAGATTTTGGATATTGCTCTACTGTAGGGTGGGATGAAATCATAGACTCACTCTATACAGCATTGGTGATATGCCCTGAAGTCTTTTTTGCTCTGCTCATTACCTGGTCCAGCACCTCCATGATTGTCTTCCTGAACAGACACAAGCAGAGTGTTCAACACATCCGTAGCTCTCATAGTTCTAGTATTTCCTCCCCTGAGTCTAGAGCCACCCAGAACATCCTGGTATTGATGTCTACCTTTCTGGCTTTTTATACTCTCTCTACTATCTTGCGAGGCTGCATTGCTTTTTTGTATAATCACAATTGGTGGCTTGTGTTGATCTCTCACCTTACTTCTCTTTGTTTTCCCTGTTTTGCACCCTTTGTTCTTATAAGACATCGCTCAGTTTTGTCCATAGTTAATTTTGTATGGTTAAGAAATCTTTTGTCCTGACTTGATTATAACTCTGCAAACCATACATACTTATTGACTTCCAAATTTTACTCAATTATCACTATAAGAAATCAATAGAGAAAGTTAAATATTTATCATCTTGTACTCCTAAGACTGGCCAAAATGAGGGTGGTAGTTTTGTCAGATGGATGTATAAGCAGCCTACATGATCTGATCATGCTCTGTTTGCCCATTGTAGTCTTCAACTTTCAGATCATAGTTTTGCCTTTGCCAAAATAATGTTCAAAGAAACCAGGAAATTGCTGGCAATAAGGCTGTCTTTCTTGTGTTTTTATCCTGTCAAGGGATCTTGGAAGAAATAATCTTCAGTGACAATTCCATGATATTCAGATAATTTGATAGCAGTTGTTCCAGGAAAAAAAAACCCAGTGGTAGTTCTTAACCATACAGCCATAGTCTCAACAATGTGTGTTATGATGGGCATCTCCTCTTGTCATGTAGTTCAAAAATTGTCACTCCTGTATTTCAACTTGTACCAAAATCAGTAAAAATAAATTATGTTGATTAGGTAATCTTCAATTATGTTAAGGGGTATTTTTCTTCTTTTCCCTTTTAATATACATAGATTTTTTTATCATACTATATTACCTGAGTACAGTAGACGCTCACTTTACTTCTCTTACATCCAATCACCTCCTCTCCCATATACATTCTTCTCCCTTTTGGTCTCTCTTTAAGAAAAAGAATAGGCCTCTAAGAGATAGCAGCAAAACACATCACAATGTAATAAAGTATGATTAAACAAAAACCATCCTGTCAAAGTTCTACCCAGACTGATAGCTGGGAGACCAGCATAGGCTGTTCCAGACCCACTGAACAAGGATATCAGTTTGAAGGTCTGATTAATCTATGGGACCTCTGGTAGTGGGTCAGTATTTATGCCTAGTACACAAATTGACTTTGGGAGCCCAATCCACATAAAAGGATATTCCCTCAGCCTAGACACATGTGGGAGGACCTAGATCCTGCTCTAAATGATATGACCGACTTTGAAGATCCCTTATGTAAAGCCTCACCCTCCATGGGGAGCTGAAAGGTAATGGGATAGGGGTCTGTGGAGGACAGGGGAGAAGGAAGGAAAGGGAACTGGGATTGACGTGTAAAAGAAGTTTGTTTCTAATTTAAATAAACAAAGGAAAAATAGACATAATAGCAGAGAAACAATTGGGGCTTCAGGAGAAGGTACAAGAATTAGAATCTCAAGTGTTTTTGCATCCAGGAGTCCTAGTAAAGTACTGAACTAAAAGTTGTCCTATAAATGTAGAGGGCTTGGAGCAAATGATATTTGGCCTCTGCTTTCTGCTTCAGTTTCTGTGAGTGTATATGTGGTTTGCACAGTTGAGAGGTATTGGACCTCCTGCCATCCTCTTCCAATCATATATTCTCTCCCACTAATCTTCTCTGGGGTTCCCTGGGGTATGAGGGGAGAGTTTTGATGAAGACAACTCATTTAGAATTGCATGTTGAAGGATCTCTCCCTCTTTGTCACTGTGTGTGTGTGTGTGTGTGTGTGTGTGTGTGTGTGTGTGTGTGTGTATGAAATTCTCCCAAACTGGACCATAAGAGAAGAATGAGCTCAGTTGAGAAAGTTCCTACATGAGATCCAGCTGTAAGACATTTTCACAATTAGTTATTGATGTTCAAAGGGAGAATACATTGAATTCCTGCTTTCTATGGCCTGGTGGCCCTAGATTCTCTAAGAAATCAGCTTATTATCCAATGGCGAAGCAAGCCAATGAACAGCTCTCCTCTCTGACCTCAACATCATCTCCTACCTCCAGGTTTCAGCCCTGTTTGATTTGCTGTTCTGACATTTTCGATTGATGCACTATGATGTCAGAGTGTAAGCCAAATTATCATTTTATCCCCATTTGCTCTTTCCAGGCAATGACAGAAAGGGAGGTCTGATGAGCAAAGGGCAGAAGACTGTGCTGGTGTAACCCACAGAAACAGCTAACCTAAACAAGGGAGAGATCTTGAACACCAGATTGGTGGCTGGGAGGCCAGCACGGGACTGATCAAGACCCTCTGAATGTGGGTGTCAGTGAGGAGCCCTGGGAAATATATGGTGTCTTGGGTAGGAGATCAGTATTTATCCTTGGCATACAAATGGGCTTTGGGTGCCCATCCCACAATGAGAGATGCTCTCTCAGCCTGGACTCTTGTGGGAGGGCCTAGGCCCTACCCTGAATGAAATGACAGACTTTGGAGATACCCCATGGAGGGCCTCACCTTCCCTGGGGAGCAGCATGGGGACTGGGTGGGGAGCTGGGGTTCCTGATTGGGGGGAAGGGAGGAGGGGAGGTAGAGCTTGCTGGGATTGACATGAGAAGCAAGATTTTTTTCTAATTTAAATAAAAATATAATGAGACAGAGACATCTTGTCACTTCAGGAGGGCTCTCAGTCAGTATTGGAGACCACAGTTTATTACAGCATCATCTTCAATAACTTTCTAAAATTGGGGGTACTGGCAGAAGTCATCTATTATTATGTATATGGAGCAGATATCAAATATGTCCTTTAATCCTCGAGACACCCCTAAAACTGCACATCCTCACTAGCCTTTGGTCAAGTTCCACTAGTCCCACTAGCCATAAGGAGTGGTGTGGGTCCACCCAGGGCCTAGGTAATTTGTTATGCAAACTAGGAGCCATTCTCCACCACTGTGGCCAGGCCAACTGGAGGTAACCAGGCCACATCTAAAATACAATGGGACATCTGAGCTCCTGGGATTGAGCTGAGGCCTATCATTGTATCCAGGCCCCAACACTTCCTTGCATTGGTATTTTCCTGCTATCACCTTTTGTATAGCTCTATTTATAGTTAGATATTGTTTAGGTATGTTGTTACAATGGAATGCCTTGGTTTCTTTATCAAGGTTTATTGTAAGTATTTCAGAGTATAGTAGTGTAGACTGGCATCTCTGGACTCTTATAGTATTGCATCCCATCACAAGTTGGTAGCACATCCTTCATGCTCCTCTATAGTGACAAATGCTTTGTAAATTAACAAATATAGCTTGGTTGGAGATCAGAATGTAGAGCTAAGCCACTAGTTATCCAAACACCTAAATAAGTAGTTAAGTCATAGAATACAGGTAGTGATGACCACAACTTTAATCCCAGCACTTTAAAAACTATGTGAGTTGAAGGTCACCCTGGGCTACATGGGAGTGAATGAATCTAAAAGAGAAACAAAGCTCATGCCTTTAATCACGGCACTAGAGAGTAGTCTGAGGTTTTTGTGGAGAGCATTGCAGTCTGCAGTCACTCTGGGGACATGGTTGGCCCCCTTTTGTCTTAGACTTGGTAGAGTTAAGAACTCTTTAGTGGCTTGACTACTTTGATTTGCTTTTCATTAGTTTGAACTGCAATATCTGTCTCTGGGATTTTATTAACCATGTTATGTATTGAATCCCAACATAAAGATATGAATTCATGAAAGAGTCATTTGCATATGGCTTTTAGGCTGCTCACCTAGTCCAGAGCAGCACTCAGAAGTCACATGGGGGATCCCAAAGAAGTCATCACCCAGCTAGCAAGATTTTACTTTCTTTTTGTCGCAAGCCTCTGAGAAAATTGGGGAATTTCGTGTTGTATCCTTTCAAAAACAGTTTCCAGGTGCCACCCAAACTCCAGAAGCATCTGGTCTCTAAATGTCATAGCACATATCTTCCCAAGACCAATGGGCTGCTCCCATCACAAGTGGGTTTTCCACATAATCCAAGTGTGATTTTCCTAACCTGTCTCTCTCTCTCTCTTTCTCTCTCTCTCTCTCTCTCTCTCTCTCTCTCTCTCTCTCTCTCTCTCTCTCTCTCTCTCTCTCTTCCTCCCTGCCATTGGTGTCCATTGGTTTCAGGTTTTCCCAAAATCCCCTCTTTTTGGACTTCTACTATCAGCTCAAGCTACATGCTAGCTCTCTGATTAGATGTATTATGAGTCACAGTTCACATACATTGTCCAAAGATTCCATAAGGCAATGTGGAATTCTTAAAAGGAGGAATGAGTTAAAAGGGAGAGTTAGTTGTAACTAACTAAACTACTCTGGATGATAGAAGGACTTCAGAATATAATATATAAATTTCAGGAGAAAGTATAAATCAAAATTGATAAAGATTAGATTAGGAATTTCCCAAAAGTTATGGTTCAGCAAGGGTTATATTTTTGTCTTTGCAGGAAGATAAAAACAAATATCTTCAGGAATTTAAAGACCTTTTCACAAATGAGCATCCAAAGAAGAGAGAATTGACCCAAAAAAATTACCAACAAAAGAAATAACATGACCTAAAGTGATCTCTGAAATCTTCAAAAAGAAGATGGAATCTCCCAATAACAATCCCATCTGGACTATTACATTACCAATAAACTGAAAAACATCAACTAAAGATTGGCTTTAGACTGCTTAGAACTACTTTGCAGGAGCTAGCTGAGATGGTCCCAACTCACTGATTATGCTCAAAAGGACTTGAGACAAGCACTGCATTCACTCATTATGCAGAGAGACAAAAATGATACAGATACGTCCAACAGGACTTGAAAAGTCAACCAAATTTTTCTTTTCAGGATCTGCTAAAGATGCGGTTGCCCCCAGACAGCAGGAAGTAAATTTAAAAACACAATGCCCACAAGAGCAAAATGTTGATTGGGTGGTGCTTGGTCACTCTTGCATTTGGATATTTGTCATTCTTTAAAGGAATCGGTTTCAAGTTGTTATTGGAGGTTTGTTTTTTAATTTTTTGGTGGGGGTTGTTGTGTAACAGCTCTAGCTGTCTTACAACTCACTCTGTCCTCCAGGCTGGCCTGGAACTCACAGAGATCTGCTTGCCTCTGCCTCCCACTGACTAGCTCCATGCTCTTTTTTTAATGAACACATATATTAGGTAAGTAATCCTTTTGATAAACAATAAAGTAAGGGTGTGTAGAGACAGATAAATCATTAAGAGCACTTGCTGCTCTTGTTGAGACATCAGGTTCAGTTC